TCTTTTGCTCTCCATTTTTTTTAATGTAAAAACTATTATAACAGTTGTGGTAAGTGATTTGTTAATTGTGAATGTTGTTAATTTGTGTTGTGATTGTTTGTTTATATAGAGGCTTTCGAATATTCTACATTAGTTAACATTTCTACAGTCAACAAAAATACAAAGGTATCGTTAATGCGATATTGGATGATTATTTTATTCTGTTTATTTCCGATTTCCTGATTACATCATTCCCGTTTATGAAATAAAAGTTTGCATTTACGTAATTATGTACAGGCTGTTTATTAGCATATTTACTTAAATACATGTACCTTTTTTGTTTTTTTTGGTTGGCACTCATGAATCTGTTTGACTTATGTTGGATATATCACATACGTATTAATGTGTATAAAAAAAAATTTCACATATTTTCTATTAAAATTTTCAAATATTCTATCATATTTAAATTTATTCGTCTGGTGACGCAATAATAACACTAGCACAAAATAATACTAATTCATATTCATCTGATCTGTTTTTGTATATTTTTTAATGGAATTTTATTGCTTCTATATATGATTATAACCGTCTAATTTTATGCTAAGAACAATGTGCAGAATTGTTTGTGACATATTGCATACAACCTCCCATATAGTGAATCACGTTTACGTCATTACATGCATTTTTCAAAACTTTCATCTTATAGCGAAAAAAAAAAGAAAACGGTGTTCAAATTCTGAGATTAAGAACCAGCGTTTTCCAAAAAAAAATAAATATAATTCAAATACTTTATTTTATCAATAAATCAGAGGGTGATCCAAACTTTTACTATCCAATTAATTTTTTAAAGTGAATATAGCCATCAAGTAGCTAGCCTACTGACCAAATTTTATAACGGACCTAGAGTATAACACTATACTTTCACTAGGTTTTAGTTTGAAGGTTACCTGATACAAATACATATATATAGTTGTTTTCTTACAACTATACATATATTTGCCACGTTTATTATAACGAAAAAAGACCCCTCCAACTTTAAAATGGACGATAAAACTTAATGGGATCAATTATTGAGTTTTAGATTTTAACAAAACAAAAATTATGAGATTTATTAGACCATTGTTAGTAAGTGGTCATAGATAAAAATCAATCTCTTTCTCTATTAAAAAGCAATACTTTTTATTAACATTGTTTATTTGTTTTAATTTCATTGGTTCAAAATTATGACATGGCTTGTGAAAAAAGATGATATGAATTAAATTAGAACTAAATCAATAAAATAATAAATATCAAACAAAACACAATGAAAAATAATTTAATCTCACGTTATAGCTATCTTTTTCATAAACAATTTTTATTGAGGCGGATCCGAAGGTAGCTCGGAGACCACTGAACAGAGGATTGGGAGGCTGGAAACTCGCCGGATTCATCTCTAGACTCGAGAGAGATAAATATTGGGCCATGTATATTAAAGAGCTATGTAAAAAAAAAGGCCTCAGATGGAACCAAGACACGTGAACAAAATCTGGCCCAATATCTAAATATCAAATTTAACAAATTTTAAATTTATTAGAAAAATTTACGTAGAATAACCTACTTTTTAAAAAAAATAGCTAGAATAACTTTACAATTTTTTTTTTATTGCTGAAATAACCTATTCTGAATTTTTTTTCTTTCAGAATACCAAAATTGTCCTTGGCAGACTCTGCCAAGGTATTGCCAGACTCTGCCAAAGGATTGGCAGACTATGCCGAAATATTGACAGACTCCACCGAAATTATTCTAGCTAATCTCCCAATTATTAAAGTGATTATAACAAACACAAGATTTCATAATTTTGCAAATACTATCATAATTAATGTCTATCATACCAAACCAAAACTTTTTTTTCGTACTCTTTGAGAATATTTTGACATCAAATGAAAAACAAAAAATCAAAACTCAAATATTTATCCTTTATAAAAAAATAAAAAAAAAACTCAAATCCTTGTGTTGTGGAAATCATTTAAGTCCATTGGAAATTCTATAGAAATGGTTTTGGTAGACGAAGATGTAAGTTATTCAAATTTTCAATTTTTTTAATATGATTATGCTGTTAATTAAATTATTGTTTTTAACAAGAATTCGTAACTATTAATTTTTTATCCTGTTAATTAAATTTTATTCTGACTAGATGACTATAGAGCTCCTAATTATTCCAATCAGTACGTCTTCTTGAATCTATTTCGATGTTTAGTGAAAACAAATAGCTAATATCGTTAGCCAATCCATAATAATTACATACACTACATTCGTCACTATCGATACTTGAATCTATTACTTTTGATTATAGAGCTCCTAATTATGTACTTTTAATTTTTTATGCTGTTAATTAAATTTTATTTATAAAATAAACATTTACTCTTTTTTATACAGGGAACAAAAATTCATAAAATAAATATTTACTTTTTTTCACTTTAAAAACTATTGTGACGACTATAGGTTCACCGAACTCTCTTACAAGATTCTGGTTATTCGAACAACGGTCATCAAAGTGGTTGATGAATCACCAAAATTATTTCCGGAAAAATATTTAACCGACTTTCAAGACATTAAGGGTGGATCTCTAAACAAAGATGTATTGATTTGTAATGTCATCCCTACTTATTTAACTAATTCATTTATTAATTCTTACTTTGAATATTTATATTTAATGTGACATTTACAATCACAATGTAGATGTTATTTAAATACTGAATGTTGGATCTATCGAAAACTTAAAATCTGAGAGAAAGAATACCACAGACACAAAAGTGGAATTCTTGCTACGAGATACACTGTAAGTGATATATATTTTTAAGAAATTTATTATGGATTTTTTATATGTAGTTTTATATTTAATTTAAAATAAAATATTGTACCTCATTTGAGTCAATCAAAAGATGGAATAAATATTGTTTCATTCATGATTGAATAAATGGGTCCATCGTTTTCAATAAGTTTATTATGAACTATTTCATTGTTTGCTTTTGATTTGGATTATTGTCTTTTATTATTTTTAAGTAAGAGGATTTATGGTGATTTCATTTATTTGCCTTCTTCTTTTAAATAATCTTTTTTATGAAATTTAATTTAGTTGGTATGTTTTAAAACAAGAAACATTACGATCATTACGATCCATAGGCTCGCATCGTCACCGACCACTTTTTCAAAATTCTATTAAAATAAATTAAACTATGTTTCTACACTATGGCAAAGTGGTATAAATATTGAAGAGTCTCGACAACAGAGTGTCCAAAGTGCTACACAACTTGCGGTCATAAGGAACTCCACGTTTTATTCTTTTTGCGGTCATAATCTCCATTTATTTACACAACTTGGCTTCTGTAAAAAAGTTTGTGATGTTTACAAACGAATAAACCTTTATATACATTTCTCAAGGTCTTTAATCTCCATCCAGTTTTACGGCTATCTTAGAAAGGAATGACAGACGGTGAATAAACATATTGGTTTGATGACTACAAACAATAATGCAAATAGTTTCATGCGACAATTTGCTAACTAAACAAAAAAAAATTATAATTAAAAAGTAAAAAAAAATAACATGTGTGGCAAAACATAAATCTTTAGATTTAGGTTAATTTGTTAGAATTTTAGTGATAGTTCTTTTTTGTGTTATTCATGCTAATTTCCATAGTTTCATTTGGTTTAAGAATAGCAAAAGAAATCAATTAATGGTTTTAGGATTAGTTCGTAGTATATTTTATAAAATCATAAAAACTATTGATCTGCAAATGAACAGTTGTTTGTTAAATCAACCAACTGAAATAATAAGAATATTATTAAAAATATTCCGAATATAAATCTTTAAAAATCTTTTAAGGATTATGAAATTTATATGGCTATTTCAATGACTTAATCTGTAGTATACTATAAAAATCAAAACAAATGGATTTTAAAATAAGAGTTTTTTTGTTATCGTATCACCGACAAAGAAAGAAATGTGCAAAAGAAGATGATGAATGATTCAAAACGTTTAGTAGTTTTTAAGATATGGTTTTTGTTTTATTTATACTTTTTCAAACAGACTTATGTTTTTGAAGAACTTTTATTATTCAACCTATCATTGAATTACTCATTTAAAACTTTTTTCATCAATTTTTACATGCTATGGTATATTATCTTTTCATACTTTCTAATTTATAATACATTTGATTATTAAAATTTAACATATATAAAATCGTATTTATATATATAACCGGTGCGGATCAGTCATCTAGTTAAATATTACAACTGAATACTTGTTTGAGGTTCACATTTTTACCGATTAATTGGCGTTTAACATGAATATGAAATCAAGAAATAAAATACTTAACAGATTTGCAAAAACAAACAAAGAACACTCATTTAGTTTGAATATTGCATCAATACAAATTAGTAATTCATATATTTTTGGAGTATCACTTTTTCTTCTCCTTGGAACACTTGTCCGAGCATGAATCCACACAGTTTGCAACTTTCTCCACATCTGTCCAT